GACATTAAAAGGCATTCGTTGACTATTAGCTGATTTTGAAAGAGATTAGTTGATTTTAAAAGCATTTAGTTGATTTGAAAAGCAACTAGTTGACTTTACGAGTGTTTACGAGTAGTTGACTATTGGTTGACCTCAAAAGTAATTATTTGACTTTTTCCTTTGAAAAAAGGGAGTAAACCAATTGCCTCAAAATTATATAAGTAAACTGAATATTTGCATAATTATAAAAATGAAGTCAAGTCAACAGTTCCAAATTACAACAGGTTTCAGCAACTTTTAAAGGTAAAGTCAACTAATGACTTAACTTGACTTGTTTGTCAGTGTGCTCTGAAAGATCTGGAAGATGAAGATGACGAACGCCAGACTGAAATGTTTCAGGAAAATGAGCGTTTTCAGAGTAGCGACGCCATCTTTTATCGCTTTCTCTTACTCGAGTGTTGTGCCACACTGTAAAGCAATGCTGGGTTGGTGTAACCTAGCATTATGTCAGAAATGGACAAACCCAACATTGGGTTCATTCTTGATATTGTGACAGCCCATCAGTTATCAGACTGCGTCAGTATTCTGCTTTATTCTCTGATATACAGCACTTTACCATTGCAAAACTACCACTGACTTTGACCACTGAACAAACTTCCTCTAAAGCGTAACTGGAAGAACATTGCCAGAACATTCTGAGAATGTTCTCTATCAGCAGATATGATCATTTACAATGTAAAGATGGAGATATTAGAGGACATGTGGAAGACACGTGCACACACTGAGGCTCTCGGAGGCTCAGACTCAACACTGTGCTGTGTTAATATACTCATATGAAGCAGAAACAGCAGAGTGTTGGAGTCAGAGCAGCAGATCTGAGAAAGACACTCCGATGTGCTCAATACTCAGACACTCAATCAGTTTATATGATCATTACTGAAGCCTGCTGTGAGCCTGCATCTGATGTACTCAGTCAGATTTGAGCATCACTGAGCTTTCAGCATGATGATGATGATGATGAAAATAAAGAGTGTTTCTTACCTGCAGATGGACGCTGGTCTTCAGATTCTGCTTCTGCTCTTTTCTGTGGTGCTGCAGAGACTCTATTCAAATAAGAGAGGAAGGAAGTGACATACAGTGGCCTACACACACACACACACAATCACACACACCAGCGCAAACAGGAACACACACACGCATGTCTTTATAAGGTAAAACGTTTGACATGAGGCGCGTCTCGCTGCTTATGACACAATTCTGAGATTTGACAACACTGAGAGTTGATCTTCAGAGTGTGTTCCTCATGTTTCCACACATCCAGACAATATTCTGTCCAGATTTCAGATTTCTGTTCAACAGAGGATTTCTCCAGCACATTTCTAATCATGATATTATTAATTATTATTATAATATTAGACTAGATGTTCTTCAAGACACTAGTGTTCAGCTTACAGTGACATGTAAAGGCTTCACTAGGGTAATTAGGGTAAAGTTAGGGTAATTGGACAAGTCATTGTATAACAGTGGTTTGTTCTGGAGACAATCCAACACTAATATTGCTGAAGGGGCCAATAATATTGAGCTTAAAATGACTTTAAAACAATTAAACACTGCTTTTATTCTAGCCCAAATAAAACAAGTAAAACTTTCTCCAGAAGAGCAAATATTAGAGGAAACACTGAGAACAACTGCTGAATCTGTTCAACATCATCTGGGAAATATTTGAAGAGGAATAAATACTGCACAGGGGGTGAATAGTTTTGCCCTCAACTAAATCTAAAATCTGTAATCTTTATTAACATTTGGCAACACTACATTTTGAGATAAGTGTTCCGCCTGCTATGCATGATGTAACATGTATGATGATACGGGCCGGTATAAGTTTCTGACGGTATCATAACCTTGGATAAAAACATCACAGTAATGTGTTTACACCTGTAAAATAATTTATTTTTAAATGCTTAAAAGTTATTAATTAAAAAAATAACTTTCCCCCATTTAACACAACATATTAGATTTTAGGAAACATTTATTATATTTTGGACCAGTAAACATGTCAGGCTACATCATTAAAATAAACCATTGACTTCTAATCAAATCGCTTTTATCGTCACATCAGCAGCAGCACGTGTGCTATGAGGAGTGTAAAACTCAGGTGCTGGCTCCAGACAGTGCAAATACAACAACATATTCCCAAAAAAACAAGACCATGTACAGTCGGTAATGTTGACAGCAGTGCATAGAAGACAATCTTAAGGTGTGCACAGGATTGTTTTAAGTATGGGTTGGTTAAAGATGGTGCAGTGCATGCTACATCTCGATGGTGTGCACATCAGATGCGATACGTGAATGGCCCTTACTCAAGAGCCTCAGCCATAGTTAATCCTGTGTGTGTGTGTTTTAGCCTCAGTGTATAATTTTGGAATAGCGCACAGTTGGCATAACTCTGTTTAGTTGCTGCATTTTTGTTCTGTGCAGAAATACGGTGTTGAGAAGCCTTTACCATTAATTAACTGTGACGAATTAAACTGCGGTTAACATGGAGATCAGTTAATCGTTGCATCCCTATAGAAATGATGCTCCTTAAGAAACAGTTTAGTAGCTTTGTAATAGTTGAACCTTATATGGTACAGTACACTCTCAGAAATAAAGGTACGTGAGCTGTCACTGCGGTGGTGCCTTTTCAAAAGGTACACATCTGTACTTAAAGGTTCCTATTGCCACCTCAAAAGTATATATTAGTACCTACAAATTTTAAGAGGAACACTTTTAGGTACATTTTAGGTACTATTATGTACACTTGAGGTATTAATATGGACCTTTTAGGTATAAATGTGAACCAGCCCAGTGACAGCTCACGCACCTTTATTTCTGAGAGTGCAGAGTTATGAGACTGTTATGGTACAACTGAAATGAAGGAGCACAGTTGTTCTCATATTAAAGGTACATCAGTGCTGGACACTCCTTTATTACAATACCTATGATCATTAATATGACAGAGGCGCAGGGGTTTATTAGTAATTTCCAGATTAAAACATGAATCCTCAGATAAAGCATGTTTAAATCAACATTCGTTATTAACTTCTAAACCAAAGCAACTGCTAAAACAGAACTCTAGACACAGTAAATAAACATTTAAGGCATTATTATTAAACATTAGGTGAGCATTTTCTGATAGACACAGTTTCATTATTGATATCTGCACTGATGATATTTGGTGTTTGCTCTCCTCTGCACACGTGAGCCGGCAACAGTCCTGCATATGCAAAGTGTTGATGCAGACATTTACTACTGATCAGACACCGAGCATCTCCCATCACAATACTCTTACACAATTATATTTCTATTCACATTAGGTAAATTAAATTACAAAGGTATTGTGTGCAAATTGGAGAAATGTTTTTATTGTGCATGAGAGAAAATGTTTCTGCATTTTAGTGAAAGTGTGAAATGTTTAGCAGAAACAGATCTTTGATGGATCTCAAAGTGTTTTTATTCTTTATTGTAAACTGAAAAGCTGCATTTACACACAAAGAAATGTTTTTTGTAAACTAAAACATCATTTAATAAATGTTTTATATTTACTGAAAATAAACTGAGGCATTTTAAATAAACAGCAGCAGCATGTCTTTAAATAGTTCTTGAAGGAGCACATGTGACACTGTTGAGGGCCAGATCTCTGAGCTGTAGGTCTCGCTTTAATCTCACACTTTTCATACTTTCAATGCGTTTGCAGGTTGGAATTGCAGGAGTGAGAGTAAATTAATTAATGACAGAAAGAACTTTCACTTTTGAGTGAACGATCCTTCATGAAAATTGGGGGACACAAATTCTTTCTGAGGGGGCAACACCCCCATTAGCACATAGCACACCCCCCACCCAGCGCCGGGCCTGGCATCACTCATCAGCTGGGCCAGACGGAATCTGCAGACGTTTTTTGCTATTTCTGCTAAGAATTTTGGTGAAAATCTGCAGACCTGGTGCAGTGCAGTCTGAGCTGCATCCAATGCTTATTAATGGACTCACCAAACCCCACCCCTAACCCCGCCCATCACGGTGACGTCACCAGCTCTATTGAGTGCATTGTCTAAAATCAAAGCAACTTTGGTCACTCCTGAGTTCTCTAATTTTCAGTTCTGCCAGTGTTGTGAAAGGCTTTAGTGAAAACAGCAGTTCTTATACTTTTTTAGCCAAGACATTTCAATTGGTGAAGTTTACTCTTCAGTGTTTGGACTCTCAGTAGTGATTATTACACCACACTGAACTGAACTGAACTGAACTCTGAACACTGAACTACACTGTTTACATTCACTATGATCTTCTATGTGAAGCTGCTCTGACACAGTCTACAGTGTAACAGCGCTCTACAAATAAAGCTGAACTGAACTGTAAGCTCCTTCATTAGTTTAGTCTAGTAATCTTATTATTATTAATACTATAATTCGTATGATCTTTATTTTGCGCTTTCTGTCTGGTGGTGTTATTTGTATTTGTATGTGATCATCTTTCCTCTTATGACTGTACATTATTGACCTGTTGAGGATCTGTCTGTGGTCCTGGACTTTGTTCTGATGTTGTGTTGTCATAAACACTATATAACATTTAAACCCTGAACGCCCTGACCAGCGCCGTGATGAGCAGATCGAGCTGTCTTCATCAGTCTGTGTGTTCCTCCACATGTGTTTCTCGGAACTTCTACACTGCGCGTTGTAGTCATGGTGACGCGGGTGTTGTGAGGTGACGTCAGCGTCGTCGCGTAGCTTTGATCTTTGGCGCGTCGTGAGTTTGACAGGCGGTTGCTATGGCGGTCGTCAGGGACTCCGACTCGGCGGTGAGTTTCAGACGAGCTTCACTTCAGATCTCCATGCAGAGGATAAAGTGTGCGGAGACACGGACGGCGGAGGACACACACACAGATCACCTGAGCACGAGTCTCTCATTCCTCAGCAGTGTGTGTGTGTGTGTGTGTGTGTGTGTGTGTGTTGTGTGTGTGTGTGTGTGTGTGTGTGTGTGTGTGTGTGTGTGTTGTGTGTGTGTGTGTGTGTGTGTAGGCTGTTCTCTCTGCCGTGTCTGCAGTATCTGGATGTCTCCTATAACCTCCTCAGGTCTCTCAGCAGTGACATCGGGACCCTCAGGTCAGCTCTGTGCTACAGTTATCCAGCAACATATATCAATGTATGATTACACTATGTGTGTGTGTGTGTGTGTGTGTGTGTGTCTCTCACTATATGTGTGTGTGTGTGTCTGTCTGTCTCTCACTATGTGTGTGTGTGTGTGTGTGTGTCTGTCTCTCACTATGTGTGTGTGTGTGTGTGTTCGTTCAGGAGTCTGCGGTGTCTGAATGTGGAAGGGAATCAGCTGGTGTGTGTCCCCGCGGCTCTGCTGAGTGTGTGTGTGTCGGAGCTGCGTCTGTCTGGGAATTACACACACACGTTACTGTGGCGGGAGAACAGCTGCAACTCTCCTCAGACACTGCTGCACACCGCTGCACACACACTCACAGCGCAGAGACACACACACCTGCCGCCCATCGCCCAGACCATCCTACAGAGGTAAATCACACACATACACACACACACACTCATACACACTCTCACACACATTTAATAACACACGTGTGTTTGTGTGTGTGTGTGTCTCCTCAGCGCTGGAGTGTGTGAGGCGTGTTCAGGCCGCATGTTTGGCCCTGGTCTGCAGATCCTCGTCCCCGTCTGCAGTGTGTTTGGGCTGCAGGTGTTGCCCGTCATGTTCAGGTGCTGCTCACCTGTGTGTGTGAGAACATTCCGGAGACACACACACACCACATCAGCCAGAGGAACACCACAGAAGAAGAAGATTAAACCATAAATACATCAGTGTCCACACACACACACACACACACACACACACACACACACACACACACACACACTGAGAGGAGCGCTAATGATGAGTGTGTAGATTCTGCATTCTCTGTAGTGTCCTGCAGGTGTCAGTGTGCTGATCTGAACACACTATTGACCTGCTGACTGCTGAACAAATTCATGTTAATAATATAAGCTGTTCACGAAACTCAACTAATAAAATAAAATATTTTTTTAATAATGAAACAATTTATTGCTGTGACATCTAGTAAATACACAAAGTTTTACCATACTAGCATGTGTGGAAGTATTTAAAACAAGTGTGTTACAACTGGCCCTGTGTTAGGTTCTGCCCCGCTCTCCCCTATTTTAATTGCATGTATTTATTACTTATTTAATTAAGTTCGGAAGACAACTCAGGCTCGCCGAAAACACTCTAGCTGCCTTTTCTCCGCCAAAAAACAGTAGGGGTTCAATCTTCAACTGGCTGGCAGGAGCCGCCAGTGGCGGGTCACATGACCTGCCACTGGCTGGTGGCAGCCGCCAGTGTCCAACTGTCAGGTAGCATGACCTGCCAGTGGCAGCGCATTTTACCCGGCAGTTGACAACTGGCAGCCAGAGCCTGGTTGGTGGCCTTCAACAACTGGCTGGTGGGTCAGGTGTCCTACCAGTGACTGCTTGGTGGAAATTAACAACTGACTGGTGGGTCAGGTGTCCTACCAGTGGCTGTTTGGTGGACATTAACAACTGGCTGGTGGGTCAGGTGTCCTACCAGTGGCTGTTTGGTGGACATTAACAACTGGCTGGTGGGTCAGGTGTCCTACCAGTGGCTGTTTGTTGGACATTAACAACTGGCTGGTGGGTCAGGTGTCCTACCAGTGGCTGTTTGGTGGCCATTAACAACTGGCTGGTGAGTCAGGCGTCCTACCAGGGGCTGCTTGGTGGCAGTTGGCAACTGGTAGGTCATATGACCTTTCATTTCATCAAATGTGTTAACAATAAACAATATGAACATTTTTACAGATTTATTCTTAATGATGGTAATTTCTGAATGTTTATTACAAATAAAGTGTGCTCAAATCTACAAAATATGGAGGTCTGAGTTTGCTTCCCTTGCTTTTTTTAATTTCTCTGAAAGTAATATAATGGAGCTTTTCATTTAGGCATTGGGCACATTAAACTAGTTAATCAGACACAGCACTGAAATAGCTGTCAATACAACTGGCTGGTACTAACGTCTACCCAAGCAGCTCAGTTTAACAGTGCTTAAGCCCTCTGAGTGTGGCGTCTAATTAGCACTCTCTTTCTGGGGAATCAAATTATTAATTTATGAAATGTATAGTCTTCATGGTATTCTGGTTTACATACCTTATATTTGCAGCAAAAATATTCGAAATAAGGTTTTCAAATGACCCTTTAACAGACTGGTGGGATATTGACGCTAATCAACTTGCAGTCTCCAGCCAGTTAGCTCAGAGTTTAACGCGTTCACTTACTCTTTCTCTGCAGCTGTTTACATTGATTTACCATCATGAATATAATCTTCTGGACCCTTTCTATTATAAATTGGGCATATTAGTCAGGTTTATTCCAGATACAGTGCTCAAAATTGCCATGATTACAACTGGCTGGTCACGCGCAGCTCCACCAGCGCACGCGCAGGTAATGCGTAAGCGCGATCACTATCTTAGTCTGGCGCGTGTCCTCGCGCTCTCTTCCAGATGAATTACATCTTTAATTCATGAAATGTGTATTCTTTTGTGTACACTTGTTTAGACATTTATAGCAGTGTTTCCTCAAAGAAACGCTTCAAACAGCCCTTAAACTGACCGGTGGGTTTGCAACACTCGCTGCGTCACCAGCCAGGTAGCCCGGAGTTTAACGCGTTCACTTTCTCTTTCTCTACAGCTGTTTACATTGATTTACCATCATTAATATAATCTTCTGGACCCTTTCTATTATAAATTGGGCATATTAGTCAGGTTTATTCCAGATACAGTGCTCA